TTTTGTTGTCCTATTCCAGCAAATTTGTGCAGTACAGAAGATGTGCTGCAGAACTAGATCATAACATTGGAATATTTGGATTGAATTGAGTTGCTCAATACACTTTTTTTTTACTATCTTCTGTTTTGTATTGTATTCATTTGCACCCTAATACTTTGTTAGAGTGCAGTCCATTTTCAAATCATAAGTGTATTTTATTATAACCCAGTTGATTATAAAGTTAAACTCTTACTAAATTTCCAGCTTAGGTACCACTTCTGCACATGTGTTTTTGTACATCCACTTGTCAAACCGTTAGCTGCCTGAAGAAGACAGACTGCCATTGGTCCGTGCAGGATTTAATCAGAAATGCCACACGGCAGCGCCCAGACCACAGCTGAGGTTAAGGTTAGAGGAATATCAATAACTCCACATCCAGAACCATTCCAGATGTGATGTGCGATTACAGCATTACTTCAGACTTCTGTGGTCCCAACCTGCCATTTGTGTTTAGAAAACCATCTCAAGCAATCAGCATTTTATCTCACCTTTCAAACATGTCGGTAGCATTATCTGTCTGTAGAGCATCTGCTGCCTCCAAGCCACAAACGATTGCGTAATTGAGATTGGCAATGCTTTCCTAAATGAATACAAGGGCAAAACACATAAATAATCATTGCTGGTTTAACAAATGGATTCCAATCAACTTGAGGAGAAAGACTATGAGCAAATGCCAAAGTCAATATAAACATAGATAGAAAATGTGACTACAGACACGCTGGAGGCATTTCAAGTATGTGAGCTAATGTATTTAACTTTCTTGCTTTATGAAAGAAGCTTTGGTGAATGGAGTAGAGAAACATGTTGAAAATATGCGTGGCTTCATTAATGGAAATTGTAATGTTGAATGACTTACAGGGCCTTTGGGTTAAAATAAATAATTGTAGTACTTTCTGAATCAATATTTAATGTATCACACATGTGAGAGTTGATTTTTTTGAAGTTTTGAAGTTTGTAAAATGTAAGTTAGTGTACACAAATGCGCTTTTAATCAGATTCAGTTCTTAAGTTATTAATACCTGATGACATATTGGGTAAATAAGGAGAAATGACCTAAAGGAAGAAATAAGAATACTAAGTAAAAGCAGAACTGAGAGCAATGACCATATTTGGTATCTGCAGTAAATGCAATAAAAGGTCTAGATGGATTAAACACACACATTTTAGTTTAGTGAAGCTTTATTGATTTTCTCTAGGTTGGTATTTTAAATGGCCCATGTTATACAATTTACTGATCTGTTATAATGTTGTTTTCTCATCAAAAACACACCTGGAGTTGTGTTTTGTTTTATTCACACATGTTTAACACGCAAATCTTGCATGAAACAGAAAACACTTTGTTCCACCTTGTGATGTGATAATGCAGGAAATGCTTCTCTGTGTTTTAAACTCCATACACTTTCTCTAGAATAATTTGCATAATTTCAGCCCAATCTTTACTAAACAAAAGGTAGGTAGTTGTTAACGTGAAAACTACTGCTTCATGACATCACAAGGTGGAACAGAGCATTTTGAGCTTTGGAGATGTGGACTTCTAATAAAGGATTACTCAAATGTGTGTGAACAAAACAAAACACAAGTCTGGGTATGTTTTTGATGAGGAAACAACATTCTAACTTGGTTTAAAGCTCACAAGAATGAGTTTGCATAATATAGGACCTTTAACACTTTAGGTCACAGGTGTCAAACATGCGGCCCGGGGGCCAGATCCGGCCCTCCAAGACCTTTAATCTGGCCCTTTGCTGATTTTCTACTAAAATATTTTAATTATATTTTCTATTAAAATCTTGTTAATTTTCTGTGGTGTTTATCACAGCAGCATCTCCAGCGTCTCTGTACGTGGCCCCTCCCACCAGAGCAGCACAAATGAAGACTTGTCTCTTTCCAAACGCTCTTAAAGGACGATCGTTTTGACTGTTGACTGTGCAAAATGTCAAAAATGAGAAAGTGGAGCCGAGTGCAGGATTTTCCAAGAAAAACTGACCTATTCCTGTTTGCATACAAGTTAATGTTAGAACATTGTGTTGAACCTGCATCTTTTCTCAAGTTTCAGGTTGTTCATAATATTATAATATTTTGTAAAAGTAAGAGTTCATCAATTAAAACAAGATTTCTGTAATAGATTTGTGTTTCTCTGCACAAATATTTGAACTTATTGCTATTTTTGGGGTTTATATGCCATGAGTTTTCTGATCCGGCCCCTTTAGGATCAAAGTAGGTTGGATACGGCCCCCGGACCAAAATGAGTTTGACACCCCTGCTTTAGGTTATAGTGCTCTGTCTCATTACAATTATGAACAATATAAAACATTTTGGATAGACATTAAACTGAAATAAACTGACCTGGCCACGCTCCATAATGACAGGGAGAAATTGTAGGCCCAGAGACACGTGTATTACCACCATATTGGATTGGTGATAAAAGACTAATTAGTGCTGAAGAGGACATTGACTGACCAACAAAGCCAATTGATTAGCCCCAGTGAGAGTGACATACTTGTGAGCGTGGGGACTCATGTTTATAATGCCACAGACTCACCAGCTCGGCCTGTCAAAGGAAATCAGACGTGACAGGAGAGAAATTATAGAGGAGAATTCATCTGTCGTAACCTGGACCACTTAAAGTACAATTACTGCCTGTCGATCTCTCTGCTTGCATTTTCTTATAGTAGAGAGATGTAGGACTATAAACAGACTATTATTCCATACTGACAGACAAAAAAATATTAATCAGGATCATAATTGGGTTTTCTCTTTGTAATACGTGGCATTTGGTAGGACTATTGCTATCTTCAATCCCATTTAATCCAGTATAAAGTCTTGTAGTACTCATGCATTGTATATATTTTAATTCTATTTCTCCCATATTACACTATTTTATGATCTCTGTTATGTTGTTTCCTCAGCAGAAACACACCTGGAGTTGTATTTTGTTTCATTCAAACATGTTTAACTCACAAATTCTGCATATTTAGGCCATGTTCTTCTCTCTATTGTCATGCTCCACTGTGTTTTTAAATTCCATACACCTTCACTGTAGAATCATTTGGGTAATTTCAGATCTGGAAATGCAAATCTCTAGTGAACAAAAGGTTAAAAATAGCTTGAAAACTACCCCTATATGACATCACAAGGTGGAACAGGTCCTTTGAGCTCTGGAGATGTAGACTGACTAATAATAAAAGATTACTCAAACATGTGTGAATAAAATAAAACGCAATGCCAGGCATGTTTTTGATGAGGTAACAACTTTATAACAGGTCTTAAAGCTCACAAGGGTCCATTTTGTGTAATATAGAACCTTTAATTAAATTTTTTTATTTGGGTTTATAGTTTAGTAGTTGGTAAATTATTAAATTAAAAATGTTTTAGATCTGGCCAGAAGCAGTTAGAATGAATATTGAGCGAAAGTTGGCATTTTAATTCCTGATACCCCCACTATTATTATTATTATGTCCTTGGGCAAAACACTTGAACACAAACCATGAATGAATGGCTTGAACAAACCTTAATGGACAAGAAGTCTTTGAATCATTAGTTGATTGTGACTCCAGTGTATAACAAACACAGTGCATAACAGAGACACTGTTTATTGAGCAAACGTGTCCACACTCACACTGCTCGCTCTGATGACATTGCATCATGTCACCTTTAAATAGCCACTTTAAATGAAATGCTGAGCTCAGTAGAGCCTTAATTGAGTTCACCTTCTCAAAGTCACTGGTGTTATGTAACATGCACAGCAGTCCAGTGACTCTGACTGTGCCTCAGATGCCCTGCCTCCACTCTGCATCAGCTCTTGGACTAAACTTATTACATTACACCACAGGGCTCGTTAATTAACTGCCAGGATATCTCACACTGGGGCATTCTCTCAACAACCAGTGTCATTTGTCCCCATTAAAAATTAATTTGTCAGACAATAAATGTATGTTTGCTTAGGCGAGCGTGCTGTTTGCTGCATGTTGGTCCCTGCTCCTCTCCTGATGTGTGCAGTGACTAAGTGACTCCCGATGTCTATTAACGACATTCATTTATTTTGTGCGAGCGAGGATTTATTTGGCCGTCCTTACCCGGACAGTCCTCTGCGTTATTTCCACTGTAATTTAACCACTATTACTGTGTTTGTCCAAAGTCCCAAATGTTCGACTTTGCTTTGGGCATTTTCTTACACTTTTCCTTTTGTTATTATTCTTTGTCTCACTAATGGCCTTCTTTTGTCTTCAGTCTGTTTCTCTTGGCACTGGTTGATTGTGTTTGTTGGTGTTAGTCCCACAGCTCACACAGCAAAGCAAAAACTTCTGGCGTTTTACTAATAGACCCATGGCAGCCAGATCCATGGACTTGTACACAGAATCTTCAATAATTCATAACCACTTGTCTCTGGGGATGTTTGTCTCATGTTTTCATGAAAATTATTATTATTATTATTTTTTTTTTTTTTTTTCAAAATACAGTCTTGTCTTTTAATATGGCCTCATCTGTCTGTGTTCATTTAGCACCCATATGCTGTGGCAGGGCTTGTTTAATTGATGTTCATATTTTATAAATAATTCATTTTAGGTTCATTGACACTGTTCATTGCCTGTGCAGTAGATAATGCATACACTGATACTAATGCACTGGACATTCTTAAGCTGTATCATTATAACTACCATAAAAGCCGGACTATGCATCTTTCTCCATAAAGCTAATGTTGTGAAACATGTTAGAGCTGAAACCTCTTGATCACGATGACTGCTATTATTACTGCAATTAAATTCACCGTCCACTTTATGTAATGAAAGCAATTAAGCAGAGCTACCTCTGCTGGAGCACACCCAGACATACCACCTACAAATAGTGCTGCAATTTGTTAACTCCCACATGTGAGCACACAATAAAATACTGGAGTAAAGTGATGTGGAGACTGATGGTTACCGTTATGGTAATTATATTTCTATGTGTTTATGTGTTTGCAGGTGCACTTCTTCAGGAGAGCTTCATGGATGAACCAGACGGTCTGGTATCTGTGAACCTGCTGGTGGTGTCTGCAGTGTCTGCCTTTGCCACAGGAGCTGTGATCTCAGGGCTGGCCGTGTGTTGGATCATGAGCCACAGACATCGACACTCCAAGTGTGGCGCCAATGCCGCACGCAGGAAGAGCGACAAGGAGCAGAGCATGTTAGCCCAGGGACGCAGCGGCTCCGTCATGAGCGTGACCAGGACCAGTGGAGGAGAGAGGCGGCGCTCTCAGCCTGACAGTTTGTTTGTCATGCACAACGGCTGGCCCAAAGACATGGACCCTGGTCTGCTGCCCACTCCAGAGCAGACACCTCTCCAGCAGAAGAGGAGCATGCGCCTCCCTGACACTGACTGGGACCAGAGCCAGACCTTCCTGACTGCCTGTCCCAACAACTCTGTCATCTACCTGAAGCTCAAAGTTCTTACACGGAGGAGGAGGTGGGATGGTGAGGATAGATGACCCGGGGGAGGTGGTCCTGCCCCCCCACACTGAACGTCAGCGTTACCTGATATTGGCAGCACAGAGAGGGGACCATGGAGGGAGCCGTCCCACAGGCACCCTGCGGAACTCAGCGGGGGACTACATCTACCCTGCCACCCCCCAGGACTCCCCTGACAGGCGCAGAGTTGTGTCTGCTCCTGCGCCTCACTTGGACTACGGAGACCCACGCTGGACCCATGAGGCGCTTAACTACAACACCAACAATGCAGCGCCCTACCACCCGCACCGGCACGGGCTCATCCGGCCTGATATGCAGGGGGCACGGGGTCTGGGGGAACTGGCAGACTTCAGCCATCTTCTGGTCAAGAACATGGGAGAGCGCACACCTAGTGGTCAGTGAGGTGAAATACACCACAAGCTGCTCTGTATAAGCTCTCTCTCAAACCATTGTCCAACACAAATTTGGATTCCAGTTCTCTCCCAGACTCCTGTCCCAACCTTACCCTGTCTGTCCTCTCTCACCGTCATTCAGTGTCCAGGAGACAGCCTCCTGTGGTCCACCTGTGTCTGAGGGACTCTCAGCAGTGGACAGAGCACAGAGCTACAGGACAGGCCTGTACAGGGAGGTGCAACAAAGAGAGTCTTCTCATGGGACAGTACTGAGAAAACTGGACAATCTCACAGAATCAAATGTGAATGGTCTCGCTCCATCGTTTTTTCTCACCATGGACGTTTTTTGAGTGTGAAATCTAATTTCTGCTTTTTTATTTTTGTGCCAGTGGCATCCATTGGACAATGGTGTGCTTTGTTTTGGGTTTAAAAATGCCTGAAACTGTGCCAGGGGGCAGTGACTCTGACTGAAGTCAGTAGTGTGTGTATGTGTGAATGAGCCATGTCCTGTTTAACTGTGAATGGTGTGACTTCTCTGTGTTGAAACTGGTGTTATTTTCCCTTTTCTATGTACAATCATTTAGAGACATTTCGATTTGTCTCTTAAAATACTATGTTTTAACAATCAGTAATGGAATGACCAGTGGCTCGTGAAGGAAGACTCTTGTTGTAAAGTTTATAATCTTTATATTTAAAGTGCACATAGCCATGAAGTGAAAGAAAGCAATAATGAGCTATAAAAGGGAAGAGGACATATTCCTTAGGTTACTTGTTTCTGGTTTGGGTGTTTGAATAAACAATATGTATTTGCCCCATTACTGTGGTGAGGCAGGGATGCTTTGGCCTCTGTGATTACCACATCTCATCAGAGTGAGGGAATGTGAGCTGAGGCTGACCGGACTGTGAGGCCCCTGGGAGCCCCTTTCACTCTCCTCTGCCTCCACACTGAGCGCCTTTGTGCCCCAAAAGCAAAGACGAGACTGCAGCAACAAATAGCCGTTAAGAGTCAGGGGCTGAGTCCAATGCTTCTGCCCCATAGAATATCAATGAGAGGGACAGCCAAGTGTATCCATCATGTGAGATACAGACAGGCATCTCCTGTGACTGTGCTGAGGTGGGGCAGAAGAGGGCCCACTCCAAGCTGCCACAATGACCAACCCCTTATGGCTCTTTGACAATGAAGGCAGATGGGCAGACGTCAGGTGTGGAGTTACCCGTTCAGTCCTGTATTCAAATGTAGATCCAGAGATAGTTTGAGTTGATCTGGGTCACAGCGCTGGGCTTTTTGTTTTGTGTGTGTGTGCCAGTCTCATAGGATTTACTTAAAAACATCTTTGATCAACTGTACCTCCATTCACTTTACTCCTCTTTGTTTAGAGCTCCATTAGAGTTGTTAAGAAGTGGTTAATGTTATTGAAGACACTAAACCATACAACATGTGTACAGTGAGGCCATGCACAGAACGCTATTGTGTTAGTTACAAAAAGTGTACAGGAACATCTGAATTGCTTTTTGTGATTCACACAATAAAGGCTGTTAGTCATTCTAATAACAAAACTGAGAACAATATTATTCTCACTGATTAAGAGTAAAGTTATTGTCTCTCTAAGGAAAGACAAGTTTTGTCTTGTCAGAGATACACCAACCATTTCTTTCTCCTGGCCTCTCATTGATTTGACATGTTCTGTTTTAATAATGTAGAACATACAACTAGATACACCCAGTTTTACCACCTTTAAATCCATCTTCAATGCTCTAAACATTTTTAATTAGAAATAAAAGCACTTTAAGTATGTTTAAGTTTTAAAGTAAGTTTTTCATCTGCATTTACAGCATTTGTGACTTGATCCCAATAGTTTGGTCCATATACCTCTGGATTATTGCCTACATTATCCCAGTGTAGTACATCGCATTCATGAGTGGGTCATTAGTATTGCGTCCATGAAGCCCTCCACCACCAGGCCGCTCCTCTCTGCCTCCTTTTATCTCCATCACTGCACCAGCCTCAGCCCCCGTGCGCAGTCAGCCGTGTGCTCGCCCCATGTCTCCTCTGGTGTTGTACTAAACATGCTTGATTAGATAAAAACTACTTTGAGCTCCTTCTAATGAAGATCACTACAGACACATCAGCGTACATGGCACAAGATCTTTAGCTCCTCTGCTAACCACTGCACAGCCAAATAAGCCCTTCAACCAAAGTCTAATGTGTTTGAATGAAAGATCAGCTCATGCTTAAAATAGGCCAGCAGTGGCTGATAAAAATATAAGTACTAAGTGTGTTGTTTCATGAACTAAACATCACAGAGCACCCAACTGATATCCACAGTCAATACTAAAGATGTACTTGGACTTAGTTAGGTAGTATTATAGTTTATATATAGCTTTACAATTTCATGCATTATTAATTTTCCGCTTAACCAATTACTGCCGGTAAGCTACTTCAGTAGACATAGCTGCTCTGGGGATAGACTGATAGAGGTGTGGCTGCCAATCCAACTATGTCTTTTACAGCTACACTACATTTAAATAAAATACATGTAAAAAGTTAATATATTTCATTTGTCATAGGTTTGCCAGTAAACTAATATGTCTCTGTATGCACCATGACAATCAGCTTTTTTACATGATATACGCATTAGCTTACCTGCACCTTATTGTTCTCCTGGTTTATTCAATAATAAGTCAGAAATCAAAGCAGTTCCCAGAAGCAGGCTTCTTTATTTCACATCAAATCCTTCAAGGGTGGCAATTTTTCCAGACATTTTCAAAAGCTCTCATGCAGTAAATTACTTTTCTTGCTTTAGCATTGTGCTGAGAAATGATTTTGTTTGGACTCTTTTTAATGTACAGTACTTTGCCACAAGCCCCAATGGCCATGCACACTTTTGCTTTCATCAGTAGTATGCACATATCATCCCCCACACACACAAACACACACACACATCCACACACACACACACACACTAGACACAGACCAGCCCTGTGACCCTGAATAATGTGCTTTTATTTTCTAATTTGTACATTTGTTTGTATGATAAAAGACCCCAGCCGGTAACTGCCATTTGGCCTCCAGGTCTCCCTCTCAAGAACGGAGAAAAGGAGAGGATTCCCAGGCCAATCAGACCCAAACAAAAAGCACAGTATAAGATATAAACAAGAATTAGCATTTTTTTGTAAAGTTGTACTTAGTGATAATTTTGTCATGTTTTCTATTGTTTGTTTCTGTGGTAGATATTTGATTTGAGGTATATTATTGTACATGATTTCTGGTGTGCCGGACTGACAATGAAGACTGAAGACTATCACTCTATGGATTTCGACTGAGATGCTGCTTCCTGTTTTTAGGGAGAGTGGCGTCTTCTTCTACTACTGTGAAGGACCCTTATTGCCGTTCTGTGGCTATATGACCAGATGCCCTACCACCTGTACATACTCCTGATGCTTACCTGTAATTTGAAGTGCGGTAGCTGCATGAAGACACAGCTAATTGTACAGACCTGTGTGATTTTGTACATTACATGCAAGTGTGTGCCAGTCCATGTGTCTCCATACACACAGCCACACGTGCATGCCCCTGCTCCAAGTGCACAGAAACCACATACACACACACTACAGTCCAGGGGCTGCGACCACGCCCCTCCACTGAGCGCTGCCTGTCACTCCTCATGGAGACACTGTGTCAACTTTCTTATTGTAATAAACCACTTCACATTCACATCTGCTCTCAATTCCATTCTTTATTATTGATTTTTGGATTGCATTAATATTTCAATACACTCCTGACTCCTGACTGGGTTTATAGCCTATTTGTAAACAATTATAGAAAAAGCAAATTACTTTTTAATAGCCTTGTAAAATTCAAAAGGTCGCCTGTTTAATTGATTCACTTTACAGCTTTAAATGTGTCCTTGTTATAGATTATGTACACGCACTGATGGATGGATACAGAAGAATAGTGTGAAACTGTATTTACTTGCAGAATACTGAATATCTGTTTTAAAATGCATTTCAATTCTATTCTTACGTTCTTAAATTACATTCATCATAGTGTAAAAATGCTGCGAGAGATTCATACATTTTTTTGAAGTTTCAAATAATAGCCTACCAATCCATCTGAAACAAAGATACACATTTCAAATAACAAATACCATTTCAAATTATGGTTGGATTAAAACAGCAATTACAAATGAGTACAGAATGTATCTTTATGTAGCCTATGTGGGGGTTCTTCATCTGTTTCATCTGTACTATGAAACTGTCTGCATTAGTAGAGCAGAGTTTTTGGCAATTGCAGAAGACGAACATACCATCTGTTACCATCGGAGGGCGCCAAAGGTTAACCAAAGAGAAACCATGGAAGTATGGCTAGTACAAACATAGACCAGACTGTGAGTACAACTGAGCAACACGGCAGAGGACATACAAAATTCATGGCATGCCCTAAGCACAACATTTTCTGATTAAAATATGTGACTTGCATTTAAAAGTGCTGCCACCGCCATTGCACAATGTTTAAATTAAAATATAAATTATAAGTCTCATCTCCACTTGTACAGAGCAGTGAGTCCCGTGTCCTCCGTCATGTGTCTGTCTCTGGGGAGAATATCAGGCGTGTTGCTGTGTGCAGGAGGATCTATCAGGGCCGGGGGCTCACCATAGACTGTAAGAGTCTCTCAGTCAAGTTTTATGAGGCTGTGGCTCCGCAGTCCTGCAGCAGTAACAGGTGTAGCGGAAAAACACCGGACTCACGTCTTCTGTTCCAGTGAAGCATCCGCAGCAAAACACGAACTGCACGAGCTTTGTCAATCTACACTCATCTTAAACACTGTCACGACTGTATCAGTGGAGCTACACAATCCTTTCAACATTTGGAACTAATTCTTGACCATGTCCATTGCACATTTAATCTAACTATCTTATCATGCACGATTGTTCATATTTCTAAATAAACTAACAAGAACATCATGGAGTGTATGAAATTCGATTTTCTTCACTTGCGCTGCAACGTATAACAGAGCCACTAGAGGGCTCTGTACTCTTTCGAAAATAAACCCTGTCTGCAGAAGTTCAAAGCCATGTGGTAAGTAACAAATTTTAATATGGGATGTTTATCTGTAGCCAGTGACACGAATTGCTCTTTAAAGCAAGCAGTTCTGTCAGTAACTACAATCAAATGTGACTTTACCACGGAGACGATGGCGCATTGTGACAGTGTGACACCAAGAGAAGCTCATGAGGTTAAATCGAAAAGATGTAGAGCGGAGAAAATCCATATGAAAAACTTAAGCTGCAGTGTAGGCTCTTAGTTAATAATCAGGTTAAACTTGTGTAACCTACAAAAAAAAGTACCCTAATCAAAATGTAGCCTATGTGTCTTAATGATTTAATAGTGAGAGTGAAAAGTGCTCATATGCGATGATTAATATTGCAGGCACTGTTCTATACGGTCTATGGTTCTAACCTTTTTTAATCGAAGGTCACTTGATGAAGCTGAAACCCAGAGACAATGGTGCACAGGTTTCACTGAGCCAACACATACTGTTTTTTAGTTTATACATTTTAAATTACTGTTAAACAGACACACACTTTATATTCTGTATAAGTATGGCTTCTAAGAAATAAAAGATGGAGGTAGTCTAAAAGGCAGTTTATATGTTGGCTGGCTACACTACCTAATCAGTTGTCAGACAAGGCTGTTGAGTTGTTGAGGTGACCCAGCAGAACAAAGGTTTCAAACTTGGAATCCCATCCATTTTCCCCTATTGTTCAGCATTTTATAAAAAAATATAATTACAAAAAGTAAATATAATAATTATTATTATTATTTCAAATGTATAAATGTGTTTCTGATGCATAACTGTGTATCCTATTTTATATTTTTAAAAGTTATATAAAAATGACACACCCCAGAGCTTGACTTGCTTAGATATTGCCAATGTTTGTCTCCAGAGTGATACCAGCTTTTGGCACTATTGTTGTCCCAGTCGGTTGTTGGCAACCTTTATTGTATTCTAGGGTCAAGCTATATGCTTTTTCAACTTTTGTATTTGAGAAGAGATATAACATTCAAGACATTTTATTCGTATGTGATAAGAGAATGCTTGTGGTGCTGTCTTGCTGTTGACAATGTTTATGTGTTGCCTATACAGCTATGCACCCAGCTGACATGTCAATTAGCTCAGCGTATTCATCACGGCCCCTGTTGATTTTCCAATTACACCTACCACCACGACGCAGGCTGCAATTAGCCCCATGTAGTATTCACAAATGTGCACCATCACCAGTTATACAGTACTGCTCAGGTTGAATCACAATGTGATGGACCAAAATAAAGTGAAGACAAGAAAAGTCAGACAGAATCCAGTGTTAGGGCTATATGGCAACGTGGTTTTCATTTTGAGCAGGACCATAATTATGAGGACGGTGTAACAAACCAAACTGTTCTCTCTGGTTACTTTGCCACCCCAAACACCACCAAAATAAATGCACAAATTAAGCTAAAAGTGCTTTATTGGACATGAATAAAAAATTTGCGGGCTTGATTTGACTTCCAATTCACTCAGACTAAATATACCAGATACATTTTTGACTTTGGTCTAGGGTTAGCTTGGGTATGATGAGATGATTGCTAGTTTGGTGTTTCCTGATGAGGCTAAATGGGTCTGGAGTTTCCCTGAATGCATTTAACAGGAACTACAATAGAAACTGCTTAAATGGCTGTGTTTTATTTATGTGCTATGATGGCTATACTGAATGATTAGTCAATTCTTTTCTATTATGGTTTTCACCTTGACTTTTTTCCCTTTTTCAAAATATTTACTATTTTGTTTTCAGTGGTTAGGTAACAGTGCTAATTTTTCATCATTCTGGACCCATAGATAGCCAATCCTGTCACAATAAGAAGGTTTTGATGTGCGATATATTTCTGCAGAAGAAAAAGCCCAGAGTCCAAAATCTATTTTTTGTCTCCCATTAATAGAACATTAAGTCGATTTAGTAATAATCCCTACAGGCCTACTTCTAGCCAAAACCTGGCTGAGCTTCTTCTTAGTCTACAGGAGGGATGCCCAAACTTTGGTCCACACTTTGGCCCTCAGTAAGGCTGCAATGATTAATTGACTTATTGACTAGTTTTTTATTTAAAAAAATTTAATAATTATAGTCGTATTTTAATAGTGATAAGGGCCCGGTCAAGCCGAAGTAAACAGCAAGGCCAAAAATTCAAGTTAATGCATCTGATATAAAAATGTATTCAACAGATAGCATATGTACTCTATTTTATCAAACTGTTTACCTTTTTTCTGTACCATTTTTGGTTCTAAAGTTACATATGTTTTAAACAGACCATGTATGCAACATGGAACAAAAATTCTTTCCGAAATTTCAAAGACCTGCAAATCATGTAAATAAATTGATGTATTTCATCATATCTTGTGTTATTCGATCTTTGAACTGTTGATGAAGGTACATGAAAAAAAAAAAAGAAATTATTTAAAATGATAAAAATTTGCTTGGAAGGACTGACATATTTTATAGAAATAGTTACCTTTCATTTTGAAGTAATATTAAAGAAAAAAGATGACAAATTATGCAAAATCATGCACCTTCTACTTGCTTGCACAATTTTCCCTCCGTTACTGTTCCCTCCGTTACCATGACCTTTCTTAAAAAATCTCATTACTCAAAAAGTAAGAGGTTTTTCTACCTAATCGTGTACCATATGGGAAAAAACTATATTAAGCAAATATTCAAACCAGTTTGTGAAGGATATGTAAGTGAAAACCAGTAGTTATCACTGTTTGTATTTATTGCCCAAAAAGTGCTGCATATTTCATTCCCTCCGTTACCGACATGAGTTTTTTACATTTTTTGTCAGCAACTTGAAAGAATATCACAGGGTTAACTTTACCCTGTTGGAGTGTTAACTCTTTTCTACATTCTAACACCTTACTTATTTCAATAGTCCCTCTAGTTTCTGAATAAGAGCTATTTGAATGTAAAAAATCTGCCCATTTCCCTCCGTTACCGCTTGACCGGACCCATAAACACTATCTGGACTATACAGATGCTAAAACACATAAAAGACCAGCAAAGTTTCAGATTTTTAGTCAACATATTTCAATCTTTATTTGACTGATAAAATATTGTAAAATTCTCAAAATACAATAGATTAGTCAACTAATCTAAAAAAAAAAAAAACAATAATAATTTAGTCGACTGCTAAAATTGTTTGTTGCAGAACTATCCCTTAGGCCCTCATGCTCTCAGGCTCAAATGATCACCTTTCTTATGATGTATTTTCCTATTGTGAATCCAAGTATATGAGTCTTTAGAGAGGAGTACAACCTATATTTGCATTTGCATATTGTGCATAATAACATATGTGTTTTAGATTAGTGATCAAATTAATAAATTTGAATAAAAGTTTTTTTTTTTGTTACTTTTATACTTAATGGTAGCTGTAGGCTTTCAACAACACTGGACCCTTGGTGAGTTGTTTTGCCACAGAGCTGGCAAGCTCTGCATCATTTTGCACTAATCATAATTTGACTTTTCTTTGTGTTCTTGGATAGAGGGAAGAAGCAGAAGAGAACACAAAGTAGAGAAGACGACAGTTAGTCTGAAGACTGAACCCAGAGCCATTTAGACAGCTAAAAGGTAACCCCACAGATGCAGATCCAAACTTCATCACTTACGCATCCCAGGTAAAACTAC